GGGGGGTTGCCATAGGGAGGTCCCTTTTCTGCATTTGCGGCCTGTGCCCCCAGCATGCACCAACTCAACATGCATTCCTGGCAGCAACACAAAACATGGGCTGCAACTGTGGAGGCAGGGGGATCTCCTGATGAAAGCTCCTTCCCTCTGCACTTCTAGATGTGGTTGGGGAAATCCCCTGTAAAGGGATTCTTTGCAAGTGATTACAGGCTTTTAAACAGAGTGGAGGACCCCTGTGCAAGTTCCCCCTCCCTGCTTACAGATACATGTGGGTAAGTCCCTTGAAGGAGGGGGGCTCTCACAGGGGTCCCTTCCTTAAATACAGTGGGTGCATCTGCAAGTGGGGGTTTTCCCTTGTAGACACCCTAAACTGAGATGCAACCAGGGATGACTGCAAACATCTGTGGAGGTTGGGAATCAGCTGTGCTGCAACGTATCAGCTGATCACACTCCACTGACAATGTCTCTTTCTAGCCTAACAGTTTTCACTCATTAAGCATGACATTACTTTTCTGTTGTGTACTATATACTGAACCTAACTGAAATGGCAGAATAGTAACTCAGTCATGATTCATGAGTCCCACATAACTATGACAAAAAAAAAAAAAAAAAATCTTAGCTTACCCTTTCGCACTATTTTGTCCAAAATATTAAAGTAGTTCTTTTGTGCTGCACCACTCAGTGAAGTTAGCTGAGATTTTGCGATTAACTGCAAAAGCTAAGGAAAAAAATATTTTACAAGAAAAAATTACAAAAATGAGTACAATTGATCCTGTAGTATTTGTAGCCACAGAGACAAAAAGATGAGAAATTAGGATGTTGACAGTAAAATATTTAAACATCCCATTACTAGCATACGACAATGTACATTTTCAAGTACTACACAAATATTATTGCTTCATTTTTGTAAAGAGAAGCAGTTTTTCTTTTTATCATTTGCAAGCTGTTAGCACACACTAGTTAGTGTATTCAATGATTTTCATCTAATTACCTCAAAAAGAAGATTTTCTAGCATACTATAGCTAAGTTATGCAATGAGAGAGAACTTTTAAACTTGAGATTAGACAATTTAGTACCAGACTAATTTCAAAACTGGCACAGCATTTTTTTCACTAGAGTAGATAACTGCCTTATTTTGTACTATGTAACGTCACTGTGGTTGTGAAAGTGATCAAATACATTGGATTAATACTTGTATTTGGTTTATTATATACACACACATACATATACATATATAAATACATATCCACGCACACACACACTAATATATATTATTTTGGAATAATACATGTGTTTTGGACAACAGTGGGTGTTTTTCTGGTACACGATATATTAGCAAACATAATGAGGTATATTTTGCAAAATAATTTTGTTAGACAACTTTATGAGCATTTACTCCAAAATACTGCTAAATCTGTCCTTAATAGGGGACTTAGACTTTCAGGTTAAGTAGCATGTTTATGTGGAGGATTCCTTTTACTTGTTAATTTAGACTTACTTTCTTTATGGGGGCCCACATTCTTATTCCTGAAAGTTTAAGCTCTAGACTCTTTATAGGCAAGTTAAAAAGAAAATATTCATATAGTGCTTAAGTTAGTCCTAAATGGGATCAGATCTTTTTTCCTCTTTAAACTATAACTGTAAGCTATGAACAGATGTTGCCCTTGCCCTGGGAGAAAATGTCCCCAAAAGGTTTGGGGAAGTACTAACAGTTTGTCTTGCACTTTTTGAAGGACATCTGAATAGTTGTCCCATGATTTCATTATGGAAGACACAGGCTGGTCAGTTCTCCAGGCAGCCCATGATGTACCACTTCAGCTCCAATCCCAGCCCCACTTGAACTCTGTGCAGTCACATTGGACGCAACTGCAGAACTCAAAACTGCTCAGAGGTTACAGGCCCCAGTGGGTTTCCCCACCTATCAACTGCCATATACAGTGACTGGCTAGACGTTTCATACTCACCACCCACCCACCCACCCAAGATCAGCAGCACAGCCTGCATACACAGAATCAAACTCAAACACCACCAGCTACTAAGAAATTCCATCTCTCTCACCATCCAGCTGTCTGGGAGGTCACTGGACACAGCCATCCTCCACCATGGTAAATTCAGACCTCCATACCTTCACATACCCATCCATCCTCCCTCTACCACAGTCCCTGAATCTGATTGCAGCCTCATAAATAAGCGTAGCAGCAAATGAGCCAGAGAAGAGGTAGCAGATGCCAGTCCAAGCGCTAAGTACTGAGGCAGCAGTTTGTGACGATATGGGATGGTAAGGTGCAGGATGCAGGCAAGGTCACACACCCATCATGGGTAACTGGCCCACATCTTTGTGGTCTATGACACAGTTGCATCTAAAAAATGTGGTATCCAAAACATAGCAGCTTCCACCACCCAGGAGAGTGATAAGGACTCTGGTTGAAGACCTGCAACCCTACCAGGCCAGCATAGCAACCTGGGCTACGAATTAGGGGTGCATCAAAACATATTTTTTTGGCCGATACCGATGGCCAATTATTAACCAGCCATATTGGCCAATACCTATCTGATAGCTGAGATGCAGCCTGGCAGCTTAGAGAGCAGTGTCAAGCCAGAAAGTCTGCTGGGGGGGAAGGGGCATGGGGGAGGGTGCAGTTTGAGGCCCACACAGAGGGAGGAAGTGGGGCAGGGTTAGGTGCTACCCAGCTGGGGCAGGATAGGGACAGAGCCACAAGCAGCTTGTTATGGGGGGGGGGGGGGG